GACAAAGGAGCTAAAAGTATACAATGGAAGAAAGAAAGCATCTTCAACAAATGGTGCTGGCACAACTGGATGTCAACCTGTAGAAGATTGAAATTAGACCCATATCTATCACCTTGCACAAAACTCAAGTCCAAATGGATCAAAGACCTCAATATCAGTCCCAACACACTGAACCTGATAGAAGAGAAAGTGGGAAGTACCCTACAACAAATGGGCACAGGAGATCACTTCTTAAGTATAACTCCAGGAATATTTTTATTTCCTTCTTGAGTTCTTCTTTGACCCTTTCATCATTCTGTAGTAAGTTGTTTAATTTCTACAACTTTACTGGAATTCCGTCTGCTGTCAATTTTAAGTTTTGTTGTATAATGGTCAGATAGAACACCTGGAATTATTTCAGTTTTCTATATTTGCTAATGTTTATTTTGTGTTCCAGCATGTAATCTATTTTAGAAACACTTCCATGTGCTAGTGGGTAGAGTGTCTATTCTTTGGTGTTTGGGTGGAATGTTCTGTAGATGTCTGTTTGATGTAACATTTAATGCTAATGTTTCTTTATTTTTTGTCCAGATGACTTATCTGTTGGAGAGAGTGCGGTATTTGAAGTTACCTATGGGTTTTTTTTATTCTGTGTTTTTAATTCCATTACGATACTTTTTATGAACACCAGTGTTCGATACACATGTGTTTAGGGCAGTAATGTGGTTTGGGTTACTTCTTCCTTTGATTAGAATCAAGTGTCCTTTTTTGTCTCTTCTGGTTACTTTGAGTTTTAAATCTATTTTGTCAGACTTTAAGATTGCCGTGCCTGCATGATTCCTGAGTCCATGTGAGTGGAATACTTTTTTCCATCCTTTCACTTTGCAGCTAAGATGGATTACTTGTAGACAACAGAAGGACATATTTGTTTCTTAATCATTCAGCTAGCTTGTATCTATTGACTGGATGGTTGAGGCCATTGATGCAGCCCATTGAAAGGTGTATTTAGATTGCAGTCATATTTTTCTGGTTTGCTTAGTTGTGCTTTGTATTTTATTAATTAAGGTTTCTTTTATATGTGATTTGTGGTTTTTCTCTGTCAGCTTTCAAAGTGTTTTTCTTTGTTCTGTATACTTAGTGTTTTGACTGTGATATGCCATGAGGAGTTTCTTGTCTGGTCTCGTCTAGTTGGGGTTCTGTATGCTTCTTGTATATGATCGTCTTAAAGATCTGATCTGTGTCATTTACTTGGAATTCTTGTCCCTCATCTATGCCTATAATTCAAAGGTTTAACCTTTTAATAGTGTCCCACATTTCCTGCATGGTCCTTTGCTATGCTTCCTTAAATTTGTCATTTCTTTGCTTATTTAATCTAGAGTCTCTACTTTATCTTCAAGGCTTAATATTCTATCCTCTGTTTTATTCATTTTTCTTGTCTTTCCCCTGAGCTTTCTAATTGAAATATTTTTTTTCAATTCTATCTTCACTTCGACTTGTGTTCTTTTCAATGTTTCTAACTCTGTTGGATTCAGTTTTTAAATAACTGCTGAATTGTCTTTGTTATTTCATTCGGGTGTGTACTAGTATTTTACCTGACCGTTACTCAGGTATCTATTGTTAGCCTCTTGGTGTTCAATGAATTGTTTGTTCACATCTTCTTTAAATTCCTTGTCTTCTTTCATAAAGTTTGTGGTTCTTCTTTTAAATCCTGTGCCCTGGGGTTCTTCTAGGCAGTTCTCATTGGGCAAGTGGTTTGGTGGGAGATGTGTGATCTTGGTCATCCAGGTTGGCTTTGGTTTTGTGATCTGACCTGGCTTGTGAAGTTCTTTCTTTGGTTGTATGGCTGATAAGACAATCTTCATGGCTTCTATTGGGTCAATGCAGAAGATACCTGACCTAAGATAGGTCAGGTAAAGATGATCTATAAGCTATTTAATTGGACCAGAAAAATATGACTCCCAAACCACAAGTCTTGAGCTCAGCCTATGGGTGCAGAAAACCACAGTCGTGGGGGAGTGGGGGAGAGATCAGAGAAGAAAGGTGTACCTTACCAGTCAAACTAGCCATGCAAGGTGGAGATGGCAGCAGGCAGGGTGAAAGAGTGAGAAAGTAAACAGCTTCCAGGCACAGGTGGTTCCTGAACAAACCCGGTTCTTGGGCTGAAGATGAAGTTAGGCCATGGGTGTGGGACAACCATAGGCCAGGGCAGAGGGAAAAGGAAAGGGAAGAGGTGACTTACCTGCAAAGGTTACTCATGAACAAAATGGGTAATGACATTCTCTTAATCTGCTATGTATTTTGTAAACGTTCCCCAAGGGTGTGGCTCCTACTCTCTATCTTCATAGTATTTTCCATGAGAGCCAATTTGGGTCCCTCCCATCTGCCTGTCTTTCCTGCCATATTAAGAAATAACTGTCCAAATCAATATTATAAAGCTTTTCTATGGGTTTTTTCCTGAGAAGTTTATTATCGTGGTTATTATCATCAGCATTATTATTATTATTTTATGCTTTGCATATAGGTATGCTTTTAAGTAAGGCCCTAATTCATATTTTACATATTGATACTTAGTTTTCCCTATTGCCAAAAAACAAACAAACAAGCAACCAAACAGAAAAACCTCTCTTTCAATTGCCTTTACACTTTCATCAGCGATCACAGGCCATTTAAGTAACAGTTGACTTCTAAGTCCGCTGCTTTCTCAGTGATCCATAAGTTTGTCTTTATCCCAAACCATGCTGTTTCATCTGCTGGAGACTTCTAATATTCAGAAATTCGGTGTGAGAACGCCACTTTTGTTCTTCTTCGAGACTATTTTCTATTAAGCTTTATTCTTTTTCACTTAATCTCTATTTTATTCTTTTGGTTTTTTATTTAAGAACTCCAGAAATGTATTGCCTACAAAAACGATTTATAGAGAATTACTCAAAGGGTGCCTCTAATGAGAAAAAAAAGAGAGAAATTATATAAATTATTCATGCTCAGTTAGCGAAAGTTCTGAATATTCTCTACTCTCTCCTTTCCAGAATTCTCAGGGGCTAATTGGGCTCTCATACCTCCCCTGTGGGCAGCAATGGGCCATTTCCAGCAGGGACGGTGCCATGTCGACCCAAATGCCTGAATGCCACTCACCTCCAAAGAGCAAGGAGTCTGAAAAGTAAGTCTAATGCTGGGGTCCTGGTGGCAGGGTGAGAGGGCTACCAACATCTCCAAAGACCTCAGAGCACCAGGAGATGGGGTCGAACCCCCATGCAGTACGCTAACCTCCCACAGGAACACAGCGAATGAAAGGTCAGAAGTACCTTTGACACCGCACTGCAGTTTAGTGGAGGATGGCTTTACTCTTGACTGACAAGTAGCCTGCTGCACCCTCGTGCAAACTAGCACAGCCGCTTTTGCAGCTGAGGTTCATTTTGTGTCTCAAGAGTGATAAAAGCAAGGAAAATAGACTTTGTTGTCTTAACACACCGTTTTCATCTCATGCTTCCTTTTTTAATGCTCGTCCAGAACGACCGTTTTTGTCCAGCCGAGTGGCTTTTCATCTTACGGTTCTGGAAATACACACTTTCATTTGCCTTTTTGCCTTGCTTCTTGCCATTAAGAACTTCAAATGTACAGAACAGTCTAAGGAATAGGACCTTGATGACTCCTAAAATCTTTAACCAGACTTACTCATGGTTACACAGAGAGTTTATAAACTTTGTATCCAAAACATGTGGAAGCAAGCTGCAGATGACAAGGCACCCTCTGGCATGGATCTCCTAAGCTCACAGCAGTCTCTACAAAACCAGACCGGCATCCTCACTGTGAAATCTGAAACACTGAGAAACAGTGTTACCCGGTATATTGTCCCGATTCCGATGCCCTTGATTGTCTGGGAAACAGTCATCATCGCTGTTTCTTCCCTGTCTTCCATGCATTGGAGATGCCCTTGATTGTCTGGGAAACAGTCATCATCGCTGTTTCTTCCCTGTCTTCCATGCATTGGAGATGATTGTATCTTTACCATTCTTTTTCTGCCTTGCTTTTGTTTGCGTCTTTCCTGGTATTGCCCCCATCACCCCTTTCTTTCTTTGCTATTTTTCTTCTTGTTTGTTTGTGTGTTTGTTTGTTCAGTCCAAGAGATTCAGCCCAGGACTAATGTATGGCTGAGTTACCACCATGCCAAGAAACAAGTTTGGTTGTGTATATGTTCTTTTGTTTTGTTTTGTTTTATAGGGCTGAAATCAAAACCTGGAGCATATGCATGATAGGCACATGCTATGCCATGGACATATGCATGTTAGGCACATGCTATGCTATGAACATATGCATGTTAAGCACATGCTTTGCCATGGACATATGCGTGTTAGGCACATGCTATGCCACGGACATACGCATGCTTGGCACATGCTTTGCCATGGACATAGGCATGTTAGGCACATGCTATGCCACGGACATACGCATGCTTGGCACATGCTTTGCCATAACACTATACCTTCATTCCCATTATGTTGATACTTTTGAAAACTCTAAGCCACTTACTTTGTAGAATGTCTGTGATCCAAACTGGTTGAATTCTTTCCTTCTCCTTAGATTCAGATAAGCACCTGGGTTTGCCTTAAGAGCTTTATCTGACCTATTAAGAGATGTCCATGTCATGTTCGCTTGCCTAAAATGGCTTCTGTTAAAGCTCCCTTTATAAACTGCCTCTTTTATTTCTATTAATCAATAAGTTTGACAAACACAAAGACCATGTGGATGTGGATATTGTTTTCTGTGGTTAGTTTTCATTAAATAGCGTTAGCAAACCTATATGGCCGTACAGGAATTTTTAACTGATCCATTAATCTGGACGTCTTTTACTATCTCATATTTCCATGTTTATGAGATCACCGCATAGGAGAATGTGTTTTGATGGTCAGGAGAAGGAATGAAGTGAGACCATGGTGTGTGCCTCGTCTCTGACACCCACTAGCCAAAACCCTAGATCAATTTTCGCTACTCAGCCTTCAACATGTCCTTAGACTAAGTGATGCTGCCAGTGGTGTGGGGATGAATGGTGTTCTGCCTCACTGAGCACTGCCTATGAGCTATTACATGGAACAGGGAGGATGGGCAGAGTGCCAACGAGATGCCACTCTCCAAGCTCCTATGATCTTCATGGTCACATTCTAAAGTTCTGCATTTAGGAGATTCAAGGAGAAACCCAGTCACCACAGCAGGGGAATTTGTCCCTGCAGCGTCCTGCTAAGGTGGAGATGCACCGTTCTGCTTCTTTCCAATCTACTTGGCCTCCTCAGGTCCTTCTCCTTCTGTTTCCAGCTCTCCCTCATCTACTGCCACTTGGCTTTTCAGTCACCAGTCGTAACTAGATGTTTGTCTGAAGATTGCTAGCGTCCTCCTGTGTGACCCAGTCAGTGGTTTCATGTGTACTTTTTGTCTTGCAACGAACCTTCCCTGAGAATGTTTTGAAAATGTTATCAAGCAAACAGCTGTGGAAGTGCAGGCTGCTGCAGAAGTTATACCACATCTGTATCACCATATTGTGTCTGGGTTTCTATTGCTTCAATGAAACACCATGACCAAAACCAACATGGGAAGAAAGGGGTTTATTTCCTCTTCCACTTCTAGATAACAGTCCATCACTGAGGGAAGTTATAAGAAGGGCTGCTTATTGGCTTCTTCATCGTGTCTTTTCTCGGCCTGTTTTCTTACACCAGCCAGGACCACCTTCCCATGGGTGGCACTGCCCTCAGTGAACTGAGTCCCCCCATGCCACTCATTAATCAAGAAAATGCCCCCCCAAGCTTACCCACAGGCCAATATTGTGGTAAAATGTTCTCAATTGAGACTCCTATTTCCTAAATAACTCTAGCTGGTGTCAAGTGGACATAAAAGTAGCCAGCACAACATGCGTGGGGGAGAGTCTAACAAAGGAGCCTGCCCCGGGAGAATACATTAGTATCTTAGATTTGCTATTTCTGAACAATGTACTTGCCCCACTTTTCCTAAACAACTCATCAAAACAGAGGAGAGATGAGATTAACACAGCATGTTGGTAGGTGGATGCATCCTGTGCTCTCCCTGTGCCCTGTGTGCCTTCTGTCTGCTTCTCTGTACACTGAGCTTGGGGGATGACCCTGCAGATGCTGCCTGTCCTTCTTCCTCCTTAACAGTAACGCTGTTCTCCTGTGCCAAACCCAAACTCCCAGCTAGGCCTCCTAGCATTCGATCACCACCTACAACGTCCTTTCTATCAGCCATTAGTGCGCAACTGCCCCACTGCTGATCCCCTGGCCCCTGACTCAGTCCTTGGGGACACAGCTTTGCCTCCGCCATTTCCAAGATGCAGACATAGAACAGGGCACAGATGAGTGGAATGGACTGTGGTTCTACATAAACATCAAAGAGCTCACTTATGTTTCATCTGAATGGATGGATGGAAAGGGGGATGCCTCTGTTTTCATTCCCAAGTGTATCTAGTGGAATTTCAACCCATATAACAACCTATGTTTCACAGGGATGGAAAGCCCCCTCCACAGACTTGCTGTCACTTGAGGTAGACAGGTCTCTACCTAAGCAGCCCTGAGCTGCCAGCCTTTCCAGCCTCCTGACACCCATAGCATGCTATGCATAGACATGTGTATACACAGCATAGACAGGAAATTGGAATGGAGCTTATTTATGCGAAAGAATTAAGCATATGTGTGCCCTGCCCTCTGAGAATTGACCACCACTCCAGCATCAACCCCTGCTAAGAGCTGTGTATCAAAGACCCAAATGCCTTCCACCCACCCCCATCTTTATGGGCTTGACACCACCACCCTGCAAAGCACACATCCAGCTCATGAACTGTCAGGGACAGCCTCAAACTGTACCACTTCCCCACACAAATGCATTGTAACTCATGTTAAAGTTCACCCAGGTCACTGATAGCACACTTATTATGTTTGTGTGTTTGCAGATAACCTATAAAAGGATACATATGTGTGAGGTTAAGTTATTTATAGATTACTGCTAGTACACAGCTGATCAGAATAGCGTTATCACAGAAAATAACAGAAAAGGGTTTCTTAATGAAGTGGACAACACAGGAGCTTCTAAAGAGCTGTGTGGTGAGGAATCCCTGGTTGGTCCCCTTGTTGTGCTGGGAGATTTCCTTCCCCAGGGCAATGAAGTAGCAGGGAGGACTTCCCGGTCATGAGCATCCTCACAAGTGAACATTAGTAAGGGTTCTTTTTGGAGCTTCAGTTTGAAAGTTAGTGGTTTTAAAGCATTTTATATTAACTTCACCTTGAAATAACTGAAGGGGTCCTAGGATATTCAGGGATGATAGACGATCACTGCCCTGGCTCCATCCCATGACAACGCCATGCCCCAGCAGATGCCTGTATCCCCATTGCTGGTCCATTCTCTTTGTACCCACACTTGGGATACTGGAACTCCCCATCCCCACAGCTTTCCTTGGGAACTGTGATGTCCTTTATGTGACCATGCAAGGGAATGAATGGACAGAGAGTCTCACCGGTGAACTTAGAGAAGACATGTTGTTTCTCTTGCCCCTGTCATCAGAACATGCCTAGATGCTGGTGTGCTGCTCATGCGCCTCCCTTCTGTGGATCCAATGGCAAGGTGTTGCCAGTCAGGGAAGCACTAGTTATCTGAACTCAGCTTTGATGCCTTTGCTGCATCTGTAGGAAGACACAGCCCACAACAAGAGACCATGAGAAAAAGTAGCAAAAGGCTAGACCATCTCCAAGGTGGGGCTAGAATCTTCAGGAATAGGAGAAACCTACATTCACACAGATTTTGTGTTAGCATGAGTGTATAAATGAGCTGGCCAAGGTTGTATGCATCTGGTAAGCTTTTAAACAATCAACTTCTCAAGAAAAGCCGGTTTCTGTTGAAATCATTGTGCACCTGTGTAAAACGGGACTGCTAAACCATGCAGGTGCTAAATTCTCAGACAGGATCCTCCAGGGGCACATACCGAATTCTCATTTCACATATTCATTCATAAGAGAACCAACCAGAAGGCAAGTCATCTAAGTCAAGGGGCTTCTTAGTAACTGCGATGTACAGGAAGTTAGAAAAGAAGCCTAGGTGTAGGACACTGTTAAACTACCTCTACAGAGCACCATAACACATTTGAGGTTGCTTTTTATTAGGCAATAA